CCCCCCCCCCCTGAAAAAAAAAACTCAGAAGAATTTTTTTTTCCGTAATCATTTCCCAACTCTTGCATGACAAACATTGATGCCAAACAAAACATCTACGAGCACAAATTTCCACATAATCTGCGTGGAACATCCTTTCTCGGGTGCCAAATCCAACCCCGCGGTATAGTACGGGTGCACCATCCCTTGATTGTCCGATTGGTCGATCAGACAATTGCGACGCCGACTACGAGTACTGTGCTCCACTGTGGCCAACATTTGTTTGGTCGGCAGGCTGCTGTGGGGCTGGGATGGGACGAATGGGATGAATGGGGATCTCCATGTCTGACGGCGGGATGGATGGGTGGATGGTCGCCGGACCGGATCGCTGGGTCGGTTGGGGTTGGGGTTGGGGGGGGAGAGTCTGTTGGACCCACCTTCTTCTTCCTCCCGGTAGGAGGAGGAGGAGGTCGTGGTGGAGGTGGTGGTGGTGGAAGTACCAGTGTGGTAGTCCGCTGTACCGTAGGCCGAGTACGTGTATTTGTGGTTCTATTAATACTGATGAGTGCTTCCGCACGGTGCTTACGACACGCAGCCAGCGAGGTGAAGTGGGACGAACCTCTGGCCTTTTGGTAGTGACAATAAGGAGAAAACAAAGCGGTGGTGCGGCATTCCTCGCATTCATTCGTCTATCCAAGGGAGGGCAGAGCAGAGTCTCTCGTCACCCTAAGCACCTCCGCCGTAATCGCTCGGGTACTCGAGTACGGGTACGGCACAACATCTGACTCTCCACTGCCGCTATCATGCTCTACCTACACACACTACCCGCCAAGAACGAACTCGTAAGCACCGTGAAGGTGGGGCTATTCTCAGACAATCATTCTAATATCATACTTGGTGCCTGATAAGCTCGCCACCATTTTTATTTTATTTTATTCTCTTTTGCGAAATTGGCCGGAGAGAGATTAGCACGCCACAATGATAAGTAATAACGGGTCATCCATTTTGTTACTTGTACCGTGAAGACGGAAGTGAGACGAGGAAGAAGAAGGGAAGAAACGGAAGAGAACCCGGTATGGTGGTACAAATATTCGGAGAGACCGATTACGGTAATCCAGTGCGGTATGGGGTTCGGTATCATATTGCGGTGTGCGGAATGATACGATATGTTATTTATCTGCTGGGCTTCGGCTTCGCAGAGAGAGTAGGACTACCTTACGGTAGGGTACTGTACCGGTATGGGAACAGCACCCATCGATATCCGTAGATATCTCGCTTGGAGTGCTAGTACTTGCCACGTTGTATCTTTTTTCTTCTTCCTTCGAATTCCCCGCTCCTGGCACGATGGTAGATCTGGTCGGTTGCTTGTTGATTTGTCTGGTGTCGCTCGGACGGAGGATGAGATGTGATAGGGAGCTGGATTGTGCTGTCCGGATACCGGTACTGTGCCGTAATGTCTGCTTTTTGAGCCCCCAAAAGTGCCGGCAGCTCCTTTCTCCCTCTTCACAAGACGCGCCCGCAAGGAAAAAGATAAATTTACCGGTACGGTATCACACGACGCGCAGAGGCTTGAGTCGCCGCCCCCCCCACCCGAGCAGGTGTGAGATTGTGGGTACTCGAGTACAGCAAGTGGAGTGAGTGTTCATCCTGTTCGTCCCATCGTCGGAGATGGGAGAACGCAGGCAAGTAAGCAACTTGATCACCCACGCGGAAGCGCATAGCCCATCTCGTCGTCCCCCCGTACTAGTACAGTGCAATGCACCACCGTACCGTACCGGGACATGAGTTCTATCCGTCCTGGATTCTGGCCATCCTCCCGAGGGGCACGGTGTTGAGCGAATTGAAGTGCGGATAGGGATAATACCGATACCGATATGCCATCAAGGGAGCACGATATGTGTGGGAAGATGGTAATAAAATGACAGAAATACACATCTGCCAAGCTAGGTTGCTGCAGGAGAGAACTCTGCTATTGTATTGTACGAGTACTGCACTCGAGCGTCTTGTTTCACCCTTCCCAGCGGTCTTTCCTTCAATGCCTTGTAGGAGTTGGCTATGGCACTGTGCAACCCTGGTTTGGTGTTTGATGCGTGGAGTGTGGATTTTTGAACGTTTCGCCAAAGGGAGACGAAAACACAGGGACGACTGATACTTGTACGAGTACTCGGACAGCGGTTGCATGCAGTGCATACACGCATATCCCACCATGGCTTCCTGTGTCAAAGGAGAATGGAGAAAAAGAAAAACGACGGATGGGATTGACAACCCCAATTTTTCTGGCCGTAATTAATGTCAATTTGGGGCTCTGAGCGGGAATTAGGCAGGAAGATGACCAAGTTGAGACGCATTTTTAACTTCGCCTCCTTCGCTCATCCGTTCATTGCGGTTTGGGGAGGCTGCTGTGACAGGAGAAAGGGAGCCGGAGGGAAGGAATGGGAGGTTGAAGGGAGAGAGGAAGGAAGGAAGAGAAGAGTTGATCCGCTCCTCACACGCAATAAACGGGCCTCCGCCTTGCTGCCTGCTGCGAATCCTGGCAGTCTCCAACTCCAGTCAAAAATTTTCCCTTGGGCTGTGTTGTGAGCTCCCTCCCCAGCACGGCCGTCCCCCGTTCTGAGAGCCAACCAAGTGGAAGGCCAGAGCAGAGCGAAGCAGAGCAATCATCGAGAAAAACTAGGCGAGAAGGCCACCCTCCCTTTCCTCCGCCGGACTGCAGCAGGAGTAGGGGGAGAAGAAGATATCGCCGCATGGTCCCGGTATTGCCTTTCCCCATCAACATCCTTCGTGAACACCGCAGCTGCTGCCCTCCACCATCCACTCGCACGACGCCCGCAACCACAACTGCTCCCACCACCACCTGTTAGCTTCGTCACTAAAACAAGCCTCTCCCTCCCTCTCTGTCAAAGTCTTTCACCCGCCGTCATTCTATTGCCATCACGACCGCCCGTCAACATTGTTCTCACGCCAGCCAATCCCTTTTTTTCTTTTTCCTTTTTCTTTTTCTTCTCCTGGCCATCTCCCTTCAACACCGTGACACGGAACATCAACCACCCCATTCCTTCCGAACCTAATCTCCCGCTCGCTTTCCCACCTTTTTCAACCTACCCCCCACACTGCCCTTCCCGGAGACCCTGTCCTTTCAGGTCATACGCAAGTACTCGTACAGGCAGGCCCTTACCCTCTCTCGTCCATAGATTACCGAGAGAAAAACAAAAAAAAACCCTGGGTGAGGATCTCGCTCCTCGGTCTTTATTCACCACTGCATCATCTCGACTTGCAGTCCTCGGTGCTCAACGCAAACCATCAGTCATTAACTCCCCATCCATTCTTGGCGCTACCTGGTCATACTCCTGCATTAACTTCGAGCGTGGATGCATCTTGATTTAGACACAACGCTTCGTCGATTCGAATTCCCATAATATAATCCACACACCCCCCCCCACCCCCTACTTCCTACCGGGGTCCATATCCCTTCAAATTTAAAGCACCCTCGTTACGAATTGGTTTCGAAGAGGACGTGAACTGGGATAGATAAGAAAAAATAATGGAAGGCGATTTGAACCTCTCCCAGGCGCTGGGCGGCCTCAGAATCGCAAATCAGACAGACGACTCACCACCCCCGTCGCCTCGTGATACTGGAGATTCGAATAACTCGCAATCCCCTTCGATACATATTCCTGACCTTCAAGAGCTCTCGCCTCAGACTACAGAATCACATTCCCCGCACACCCCCAGTGCCTCGTCCCAGACACCACCATTAGGACCTTCCTCGCAGCTTCGGCAGTCCGCCGCATACCCCCCGCCTACCCCTCCGTCACGGCCCACCTCTCAATATCTTGGATCCTCCTACGCGTCAGGACCTTCAACCATTTATCCTCAGAATGTTTCCTCCACCGGTTCTGTCTCTCCCATTAACCCTCTGATGTATCCAGACTATGCTCGCATCTCGCGTGAGCCTTCAGGATCTTCGCTGTCGGGGCCGTCAATGGGGGCAAATAGGCAATCTCAGAGGGAACGTTCAAATACCGATAGATCTTACCGGCAATCAGGTCCAACAGGTCCGTACCCCCCTCGTGGCTCTAGTAGAGGAATGGCCCAATCGGGATCGGAAGACAGAGGTCTTGTAGGCGCTGGTGGCCCATACGCTTCGGAGAACGGCCCTCCCACCAGCAGTGAAGAGTGGAAGGATAGAGGCGCGGCGGTGGGAGTCCAGAGGGATATAGATGCTAACGGAAACACCATCACACGAGTAGTGAAAAAAGGAGTCAAGGATTTTAGCTTTGGTCGGACTTTGGGCGAAGGAAGTTACAGCACGGTACTTTTATTTTATCATTATCACCACGATTACTATTGTTTGCACACCCAATTGCGGCAATGTTTTCTGACAATATGCAGGTTCTCGCGGCCACTGACAGGACAACCTTAAAGGAATATGCTATCAAAGTTCTCGACAAACGGCACATCATCAAGGAGAAAAAGGTTAAATACGTCAACATAGAGAAAAATACCCTCAATAGACTAGGTGAACATCCAGGAGTTGTTCGACTGTATTATACATTTCAAGATGAGCGGAGTCTTTATTTTGTGTTGGATCTAGCCGCTGGTGGGGAATTACTTGGTTTTCTGAAGAGGGTATGTGCCCTGCGATCCTTCCCCCGAACGGGTTTGTGCTCACGGTTAGTATAGATGACCACTTTCGATGAAGAATGCACCCGGTACTACTCGGCGCAAATTTTGGACACAATTGAGTATATGCACTCCAAAGGCGTCATACATCGTGATCTGAAGCCGGAGAACGTTTTACTGGACGACCAGATGCGGGTCAAGATTACGGACTTTGGCACTGCGAAGATTCTAGACCCGCCAAAGAAGCCCCCACAGAATGGGGATGGGCCAAGCGGGATGCCGTATCATGGGGATCCCATGGAGGAGGATGGTTCAAAGGCGAACTCGTTTGTGGGCACCGCCGAGTATGTCTCTCCAGAGCTCTTGACAGATAAAGCGGCCTGCAAGGCCTCGGATTTGTGGGCCTTTGGATGTATCGTTTTTCAGCTGCTCTCCGGAAGACCTCCCTTCAAGGCGGTGAATGAATATCAAACATTTCAGAAGATTGTCGGTTTGGAGTATGAATTTCCAAAGGGATTTCCACCGGTAGCTAGAGATCTTGTCGAGAGGTTACTGGTTCTCGATCCCGCCAAGCGGCTCAATATCGAGCACATCAAGAATCATGAGTTTTTTGATGGCATTGAGTGGGGCCGGACACTCTGGAAGATCAAGGCGCCCAGATTGAAGCCATATGTGCCACCTCCAGCCGAGGAGAGGATCATCAAGTTGAATGAGCCACCTGCCCCTCGAAATGGCAACACAAATGGGGGCGCCACACTTACCCGACCACAGCCACCCCGTGTCATTACAGAATTACCACCTCCGAGCCAGCTTGATATCGAATGGTCGCCAGTACTTACAAGATCCAATGAGCGGATATTAAAGCTGGGCAACGCAGTTGTTCAGACTAGCCCTGCGCCACACTCGCCCGATGGTAAAGGAGGTATCAATGGGCATACGGAAACACCCAAGAAATTCGCTAGGTTCTTTGGCAATGGTAGTAAAAAGCGGCAGAGATTGGTTATGATAACCACGTGTGCTCGCGTGATTGTGGCTGCCGCTGGAGGAGATGATAAGCGTATGAAATTGGAGATCAACTTGCAGGGGCTTGGCGTTGTGGCTAGAAGTATAGGCGGTAGTGGTAGCACATCATGGGCCATTGATACCGTGAGTACTAAAGGCTACCAAGAGTCCCTCTATCAAGTGCACGGCTGACACGAGATGTATATATATACAGCGCGACAAAACCTACACCTTCGACGACCCCAAAACCCCAGCCAGCGAATGGTTAGAAACAATTGACAGAGCTCGGGAAATAGCGGCAGTTAATTACCCACCCGACGACGGTTTCATGTCCAGCAACCTATCCAGTCCGGCCTCGACGATCACCATGGAGACCGGGAATGGACCGTTTCACCACGACAAGCCTGGACGGGAAGGAGATGGGCACGGCGGTAGGGAGAAGGCGAATAAGCGGTTCTCCAAGCGTAACTCTCGGCACGGACTGGCAGCGGTGTTTTAACAACGAGCCAGGCTCTAAATTTTGAGCCTTCCTCTACCACTACTTGATTTTTTTTTCTTTCCCGTTTTATTATGCTTCTTAAATTTCATTATACTTTATTGTAAAACTCGGCTGGTTGTGTGCTGTGCGATGTGAAACCCGGGGGGCTCAACGGATAAGCTACTTGTGGGAGAGAAGCGCGGGAGGTGGGTGGAAACCATAGTGTTGATATGTAACTTTGAAGCCTTTTTTCTCTCTCTTTTCCTTGCTCACTGCTTGCTGCTGGGGTGTCCTGTACTGTGGGATCTTTTTATTCCCTTTTGTCCTTTTTATGCATTTCTCTTTTCCTTTTTCGCACTCTTCTTTCCTGGGCTTGGCGTGGTGTCCGTGTTTGGATTCTTTTTTTTTCCCCCTTCCCCTTTCCCTCCTTTCTTCGCTCCTCATCCGCAGAATGGAAAGTTACTCTTTTCTCTCCTCCCCTCCTCCTTCTCATCTACAGTAGGGATGTTTGGTTCGATGTTTGCCTTGTGTGCCTTGCCCTGTCTTGCATTATTCCCTAACGTAGCTTTCAGCATCCGTCTGTCTCGCCGAAGGGGGGCCTTGTGCGAGAAGGAATATAATTATATCTTGTCTTGTCCCCTTAAATTACACGGTAGCTATGGTAGAGTACGGTGAAGATCGGAAGGGGATAAATCGGGAGTCGACCCCTCTTGTTTTCTGTTATGACATACTTGAGCAGGCTGCCGGTGGTCTGTATCAAGTGTGGGCATCATGTATGGTGTTGTTACTACTGTAGTAGCAGCAGCAACTTGAGACTCCACTGGTCTGGGTGACGGTGGTCGGGTCTAGTGGGATTGGTTTGGTTTGGTTTGGTTTCGTAGGATAGGACAGGACTAGACAGGGAGAAATGGTACTCGAGTGCCGTGCGGTACTAGACTGCAGCGGCACCGGTGCTTGTATGGTACGGGTACCAAATGTAAATGTGCGGGTACCGTTTACATTTACTACTGTAGTACTCGCACTTGTAAAGTACCGGTACTCGAGTACAAGAACCGGTAGTCATAAAACGGAGCGGGACGGTGGGGCGTTACTCATACCGGAAGTGTGCCGTGAGGCTCGATTTGATGGGGCACCGGAGAGTGTTGACATACTATCGCTGTGCCATCATAAATTCAGCTATAGTACCGGTACTCGTACTAGTACAGGCACCAATATCCCAGCCACCAGCACCAGCAACAACATCTAGACCAAATTTCACGACGCCTCACTCGTCGTGTAGATGGTACGAGTACTGTACCGGCACTCGCACAGCGCGCAGCACGGTACTCAAAGTCATTCTGGCTGCCATGCAGAAACCGTCGTGGTTGTGTGCCATCCAGCGACTACGGTACTCGAGTGCCAGCACAATACCGGTACCAGTACTGAGGCATCTCGCACGATACTTGTACACACTCCACCAGCAACAACCCCTTTACTCGTACATGTACCCGAGTAAGATACCATATCCCTCCCAAAACCAACCACCGGCACGGCTAATCACTCGATTACTAACCCAGCTCCAGACCAAACAAGGCAAAACAGCCTCCCCGGTGTCCCCGTCCTGGGCAATTTGTGCGGCAAGATGTGCCCGACACCAATCAAACCTTGACTCAGCGATGCGGGTTTAACCTTATTTGGGTTTAATTGGTCCGGTTTGACCAGCGATCCACTCCTTTTTTGCCGCACGCCCGAAAGGCACTCGTACAGTAAGGAGTTTCCTTGGCCCGAAAGCTAAGATCGAAAAGGGGCAAGCACTTATACAGTAGTCCTCTGGTTGGTCGGTTGGGGTCTGGATCTGAGATTGTTTCTTTGGTTCCGCAGAAAGGGTAAGATTTACAGTCTCATCATAATAAAATAGCCGCAGAGAAATGAGGTTAATACTGTATTGGTGGGGAAGCTTTATGAAGAAAAGGGGAGGCGTTGATAATTTGAAGCGAGGTTGTACAAGTACGAGAATTCCGATTTATGGCATGGTTAGGGTAAGATGGTCCGCTTGACTACCGTACTGGGCTCCCTAAACACAAGAACCTCATGCAAAACCTCGTATTGTGCTGGCCACCACCACAACTGGTAACCCTTACCTCCACGAATTCAGCTAGAGGGGGTTAGAGCGGGTACAATTGGAGTCACAGGGGAAAACAAGGCACCACCATCCCCTCGCTCTCGGGCTGGCATCCGGCAGGTAAAACATGCACCACGGGAGAGAGTGAAAAATAATAATAGAAGAATGGGGAGGAGATATAAAAAAAGAAACCCCCTGAGGAAAAGTCGGATATAAATTCCTCACTCCCACCTTCGATGGGAATTTTCCCCCTTCCTCTACCCACCCACCAACCGTCACTCGTTCATCGGTCCTCGTGTAAACAATACACGTTCCTTCGTTCGTTCAATCGCTCGATTACCATCCATTTTACTTGCTACTTGATCCAGAACCCGGAAACAAAAATGCAGCCTCAATCCCTCCTGCTCCTCCTCCTCGCCTCGGTCGCCCCGGCAATCGCCGCCACCACCGCCCTTGACTGCGGCGGTGGACGCGCCCCTCCGAAGACTACGGTTCCTGGATGCCCGGGGTTCACCGGGCCAACACCCACTTCCGATTCCACAGCCGTCTCCACCCCAACTTCGGGCTCGGGTTCGAGTGTGTCCTCTTCCACCTCGGCGGGCACCGCCGTTACCTCCACGGCAACCGGCTCACTGCTCCCGACTTCGGCAAAGACGTCGTCTTTCGTTACTAAACCAGTGCCCAGCTCTGGCGCTTCGAACGCTACCAGCACTACCATTCGGGGCACTGGCACGCGTGGGAACGGGACCGCGACTGTTACACCTGCTTCTGGCACCAACAGCACTAGCTCTGGTTCCGGCTCTGGGTCCGGCTCTGGGTCGGGATCTGGGTCTGGCAGTGGGAGTGGATCCGGGACTGGATCGTCTGGAAGTGGAAGTGGAAGTGACAGTGGAGGCTCCAGCTCCAGTTCATCCGGCTCTCCGTCAAGCCCCAGCTCTCAGGCAAATAGTGCCGGAAGGGTGGTTGGAGGTATCAGCGCTGCGGTATTGGGTCTTGTTGGGGTCGTTGCGTTCGGGATGATCTAGGTGTTGGATAATAGATGTATGGATGTGGCATGTATAGACATATAGTACCGGTAGGGCTTGTAATGTGGTTTTGGGCGCGGATAAAATAATACTATCACTAATTGCATTCTATTCTATTCTCTCACACACATGTACCATGTTTCCATGACCAAAATTTACGTAAAATGGCTTTCAAGGGGCCCGGGTGTAGTCTGATACCGCTAGCTTACAATTCACGGTAGCGATTCCTCGCTCCAGCTCTGCCAAATTCCTTTTCCATGGAACATTGTGTTTACCCGGAAGATACGGCACGAGGGGGGAGGGGGGGGGGGTGGGAGGATGAGCCTTCCAATCTCCCAGTTCATTTCCAATCACGGACTGCATGACGCCAAGACCCTCCCTCCCCCCCTCTCCCCGGACGACTGCCGTCCATTCCGCCTCAAACTTGTCGAAAGGGCTGGCCAGACTGGGATCAACGACTGTGTATAAATTTAATAAGGTTCACTCTTGACCAGGATTTCGCTATGCCAGGTTTAATTTCCAGCACCCACGATTTTCGAAAACTTTCCATCGTGTTTATATCTTGGATGGTCAGTTCCACCAGGTGGAGGAGGAGGGGGGAAGGGGGAGTTGGAAGGGGATTCCAGGGAGCAACAAAATTTTGGAGGATACTGAGTACTGTACTGTACTGTACTAGTACCGGCAGAGGTTTTTTTCTTCTGTTTCGGGATTGGTGCATACATACTCGAGCAAGTACAAGTACAGTACGGTACTATAGGAAAGTGGCCTCACGCTGCGCGTTTTCCCGAATCCATCCTCTAGATTCCAAATAATCACACTTTTGAAAGAAAAAAATCAAAAAAAAATCGAAGTGGTTGAGGACGCATCCATCCGCTTGCGGTCGATTTATTTATTGACTGGGGTGATTTATCCCCTCGGATGGGTACATATGAGGCCCGAGCACTTGTAGTCTAGAGCTGGCACGAGTTGGCGTGGGCCGTGTATCTAAGTAAAGGGGATGTTTTATCCAGTGCTGGGATTTATATACGGTATGTACGTGGCTAATGGTGTTTGGGGTGATAATAAGGAGGGAATTGAACATTGCTATCATATTGGAGAAATGTTTTCTCACGGGATTGGGAGTGTTGTTGTCATGGTCGTTGCTATTATGGTAACCAGCTCTAATATGCCAGGCTTGGCGACTGCGATCATGAGATATTGCTCGCCCCCCCCGTTCGGCTGCTGTAGGGTGGTCGTGGCCGACCGCTGGTCCTGGGTGACATGCTATACGAGTAGATGGGACAAATCAGGGTGCGCCTGAGACCGCCTGGAGCAGCCGTAGGTGGACTAGACTGCTGGAAGCACTACCTTCAGGTGTGTTAGACTACTCAACACTAGCGCTGGACCAAGCAAGAAAACACGAGATCAGTACCATTGTAGTAAAGTGCAGTAGTGGGGGGGGGATAAATGCTTATTCTTACTATCGGACTCCTCCAAGTAAGCAAATTTGCACTTACTGTATTTATTAGGTAAGTACTTGTATCGTGAGAAATTAATTTGGACTAAAATTAATCTTAAATCGGCGTAATGAATACAGTACTCTACAGTACCGTACAGTGCATGACTGATTCGGATATAGTTTTTTTTTTGCTGGAGTTAGCACTAGTCGCTGATCCCTGGTTGACTGTCATTTGGTCTGCCATGAGATGATTCCCCCTCCCCCAACTGAAGAAGTGTCTTATTTCTGAGAATAGTGGGTTCTAGAGGGTGTTTTTGGTTGGTTGGATATGGGGAATACTGGGATTTTGGATGCGGTGACGGAGATTGATAAGGGGTACGAGAAACCTCCCTGATGCCGGTATCGAGATATGATAGATTTATTAGTGGAAGGGTCCGTACGAGGCTTCTGCACGGTATACAGTTACAGGCTAAGCGGGCGAGATGTATTAGTGCTCGGGGCCCAATTCAGAAAAAGCCAGTCTGATATGGCTCGGGAATTAGTTGAGAAGTGTACTCGCACCCCGCTATCCCGGATGGTCAGATTTCATGGATTTCATCCGGGACAGCGGGGTATTCAGAACAGTGGAGGGAGAGAGATCGTGTTACGGTGTTTGAAAAACTATGATGGCTTATTCCTAGCCGTGTTAAAAACTTTATTTCGGTTCGTATTCACAAGCGGTATTAACGCTTTTGATGCCCCATATTATGGTAGCCACGCGCATATGATAGCGTCATCATCCTGCTCCACATCACTGCCAAGATGGTACATATGGTAGTGTTACACTCTACTTCCATATCCCAGTTTGGCTCTGGACCCGCGGTGCCCTTTTCCGCTTCTTTTTTCTATCCCTTCGCTGTGTACTTTTTTCCTTCTTGCTTCCTTCGCGCTTTTCTCTGCTCTTCCCCCCGTTAACATGGTTGTTATAGCTGTAAGCATAGTATCAGGTTAACAGATTAACTCTGTATAGGAATAGGGGGTAAAGTTTCGCAAAATATCCTACGAATCTGAAAGCCTCCTTTTCCGGTTCGGCAGGTGAGTTTCTATGAGAATCCAGAGGTACCAAAGGGTTTGTATGGCTCAGTGGAGTATTCGGCTCAGCATGATCCGGGACAGCGGGGTGTGAGTGTATGCTCTATTCTGAACTTATGGTCAATATTATCATCAAAGCGTAATCAGCCTAACAGGAACTAGGCCCCTCCCCCGTGGATCTTCGAGAAGGAATTGTTGTGGCTGATGCAAGTGCTTATTTGACGCTGGAACTTGGCCCCTCGTGAGTGCTATTTCACCTCATGCTCGCTCTGATCAGCCTCACTCTAGCCACTGCATATTTTTGTTATTAGATCATACCTCTGTATTATTTGTCCCACACCACCTTATCTTATGTCGAATCATTTCCTTTAGCAGTTTTCCCACTTCAAAATCCACAAGCCGTGCACTTTAGGAATTAGAGAAAAACAACTCGATTGGTTGAATAATATGAGAATAGTGATAATATAAAAAGCGAGCGGAAACATACAGGGAGGATATATCATCTGATTGTGTCAAGTCGAGAATTGAGAGATTCAGCCCGGCGCAACCCCCCTACAGGAATTGCTGTGTGGCTGACTGCTTGGTAGTTTTTCTTGCCAGCTTGTTGGGTGTTCGCCCTTGCATGGGGCCGGGGTGTTTCTCAGGTAGACGGGGCTTCTCCGAAGAATCACAGCAAGGTCGGGTTCTCAGCCCGTACGGCAGATGGCATGATAAACAATGGGACGTCAGGTGAGTGATAGTGATTATTATCTAATTGAATATTTCACGAAACTGTCTCCGCTCCCGGTGCCCCAAATTCGATGGGCTTAGGCGTAGCAGCCACTGTTGTGCTTTAGAACAGCTTCTAAGATGTAGGGTAAATTTTTATTTTATATTTCGCGGTCATAAATTGTCACTCGGCATACGAATTGTTTGACATTTAATAACCCGGGATCCTACTTGATTCCACAATCCGGAAATTATTATTCGATACCCACGACTCCGGGTGGTGCGCAAATGTGTGAGCGTAATTGGAGGGTGCTGAAAAATAGAACGGTTGAGTGTGGGTGATTCTGAACATAGCTTATGCCTGGTGGAATAGGGAATGGGAGTCTGGAGGGTTGGATGAGGGCTCATTTCCCCGATATTTTTCTGACTTCCCTCGGTCGCGTCTCCGCCCTGCCGAGACAACCTCTTAAGCGTGCGTTTGCCTTCGATATTCATTCGGAACTGTTGGATTTCTATTATCTCGCTTTCGCTCCCTGAAAGATACGTATTACTCTGCTTTTCGTGTGTTAAACTGTTTCGCGATATGTTTTTTTTTCTTTTTCGTTTTTCAGGAATCACTGGCCCCTCCTTTCTGACTACTGTCCAGTCAAACTTAGTGCGTGCTGTATCGCGAGTGGGAGAGTGGCAATTGGGGGAAGTGCTGATACTGGTAGGGCGGCTTGCGTTGTGTATGTGAATGTTGTGTCCGACTACCGTACAGGTAGGCCATTAGACAAGAAGGATTGGCTAGGGGGAAGAGGACCAATGTGTACGACGTGGGTTAAGCGCAAAGAAAAAGGGATATGACAATGCCGAATACCCACCACTGAAACTGCCCCCTCTGGTTGCTCGCTTCTTTAGGCTCTTTAATGCGCAGGGCTATTGAACGGAGCAAAAAAAAAAGGAGTAAGCTGCTCCAATGACACGCTAATTTTTGAGGGGAAAAGTCCCTTCTTGCGGCCACTCGGCGGAAGTCTCATCTTTGGCACGCCTCTCTGGAGAGCAGCCCTGTGGTCAAAGTGGACGGTATTCTCTTTTCCGTTTTGGCACCGGTCCTGTATTGAAGCACAAATGCTTTACGAGGCGATTTTCATTTTATTTTTGTCAGCATGTTTAATCGAGTGGGAGCTAAATTCTCGTGGGGTAAAGCGGACCGCTATTGCATGCAGCCGAAAATTAGCCGGCATGCAGTGACGGTCTGTTTTTCCAAGCGCCGTCACGCTGCGAATTTACAAGGATGGACCAAAGGAGGAAAGGGAGTGAAGAAAAGTGGAAGAGAGCCGCGATAAATAACGGATATAGGGAAGAGAGTGATCATGCTTATTTAATCTCTTTGAGGGGGGTTGCTCAAGTTGCCTCTCTTGTGAGTACGTTATTATCATTTGTTGAACTCGATTCCCAGCCGCCAGTAGGACTGCTACTGCTTTAGAATTAAGGCGTCTTGTCGGGTGTTAGCTAACGTTTTATATTATTCTTACCTGGGTGTTGCTCAAAGTCTGGTTCTGGAAGATTTATCGGGGCCTCTATTTTCACGAAATGTATGGCAGTTTTGGATGTGTGGTACAGTTACTTTTGTCTTGCTTGTCTGTGCGTCCACTATTCAAGCATTCATTGTTGGTCATTGGAGGTATTGTGAGTTGAAAAATGGAGCCCCAACATCAGCCCAGTTACTCTACTCTGGGTAGCGCGATTACGGTTGGGTTAAGTGTGTTTCGGGTCACAAGCGCCGGGCGCTTCGTCGAGCGGCTGTGCGTTTTCAGGTGTTTGAACTAACAGCGTCACTAGTTCGTGTGCTGAAGGGCATGGGTATCAGAATCTAAACAGCCTGAAAATCCTATCATAGCATGGTAGATCCTCTTCAAAGAGTTATTGTGAGGCCACAATCGAGGTTTATAGCCTTTCGTATTTGTCGCTAGGAATTTTCGTGCTGAAGAGGTATCTCTTCCTTTCGTGTAGAGGTGCTGAGTCGGGGGGCCTTGTGAGTGTGTCCGGATTCCCCCCGGCTGCCATTGCTGGTAAAAATGTTGCGCGTTAAGCCTTTTACAAAGAATGCAACAAGGTATGGCTTCAACAATGACTTTCCGATTTGTATGAAAGAGGGTAGAGACAGTGGTAGAAAAAAGACTGGCAAAGTAGAAGGAAACACCATTTGTGAGCGTCGATGGCCGCTGATCAATATTGAAGGAAAGAGGAAAGAAACATAGGACTTATGGTCTCTTCTCACCCGAGCTCCCAAACCTCTGTGAAGAAACCTTTATCCCCCTCCCCTAATACCAGCGTGCAGAGAAAATCTTTTCCCGTTTCATATCGCGAGTCTGTAACACTGGTGTCTGCGGAAGAAAAATATTTCACTGACTAAACATCACTAGTCGGGAATCTGCTTCAGCCAGGAGACAAGACTGGCCTGGCTTGCATCCGGAACATTCGAGGCACTTCCAAGAGCGTGCCGCGCAGTAACACTTGATTTCCAACAAAGCCTAACATCCAGACTTCCCCCAACCGTTTCTATGATAATTCTCTTATCGACACAATCTTCCAAGCCCCCGTCACCCAAACTTCTACTACGGTAAGCCAGATGGACCCGCCAATGCGGCTCTAAGACCTTTTAAACAGTGTCCTCCAAAATTGCTCCTTCTGCGGGGATGGTGGGAACTTGGCCTCCAAGCCACTTGCCAGGTCCACCTCCGGCGGGCCACCATCTGGACCCTTCCTAGTCCCATAGCTAACTGGTACTCCCAAGACATCATCAAGAGACCTTGCCAGCTCCTCTCCTGTCATCAACTTGCCATCATCGAATCTGTTTATAACTGTCTTCAATAGCTCCGCAGTCGCTAGGTGGCTATCATCTCTGGTGTAGACACCCTTACAGTAGCTGAGGACAGCTAAGATTGCCAGGACCTGCCCGCCTGTGATACTGGCTACGATGAGGATCACTCGGACCCAGTTTACCTCCAAGGTTGTATGTAGGTATGCAGTGCCAGAAGTCTGATTAGGATGTGGGCCTAGTGCGAATCTGGGGAAATCGTCGTTTCCGTGCATTATGGCGAGGATCGGTAGCCGAGCCACTAGGCCGGCCACCCAAAGGTTGTAACTATTCCGGACCACCTCGGACTCACTCCCGCCATCACCTAAATTATTGTAAAGGTAGGGTACTCCACCGTCGGCCCTCCCTTTATTGTCTATAATACTAAAGGTATTCAGATAGACATAGTGCCCACCATTTTTGTCCTTAGTGGCGTAGATGTGTTCGCCCTCGCCCAGTGTTAACAGCCGATATAACTCTGTGGGGTGAAATATTCGTTCATCAGGTTGAACTTGCTGCGGTCCGTGGCCACCAATAGTCTCCGTTAGGGTTGGCCAACATTCCCAGACAGCGCTTCTGAATACAATGTCTGGTAACATGATGGTGTTAACGCTCCAAGGCCTTGGCATTGCCGCGGGTATTTAGAACTGACAAATCTGAGGATATACACCACTTCCACCTAAGTAGTCTTGGAGTGATACCCACTTGGGGGTGGTGCTGCTAACTATATCTGAGATCCGTAGTATCTCGGATACGACCTCAGAACTACTCTCCTCACTCCAATCTAATTCACCAAATCAAAAATTAGCTTCACTGACACTTGGGCGATGGATTATCGAGCTGTGGCGAAAATATTACATACAGAATGGTCCGGTTCTGTTCCCATTGTTCCAGCGCCAATATTGATACCCCAAGGTCTCCATTAGGCTGCAGTTCACAGAGGAGTGAACAGTGCGGTTTGACGGCCTGGTATAATCCCCTTTGAAATCCTTCAATTTGTATGAATATTCAACAGTGTTTGCGTCCACTTTGAGCGTAATATTTGGCAATTGGAGATCGGACTCCAAGTAGAGGCTTATGTCATGTTTGGAACTAGAGTTCGCAATCTTATTAATCCATTTAGGGAGCTCGGCGTACTTCTGTAATCCATTCAATAGAGAATTCATGAACGCTTGTTAGAGCTGTCAGCCCTATTTCATTCCACCAACGCCCAGTCTGGGGTGTGGTATCCTTACCTTGCCCACTATCAAGCTGATCAACCCTAATGCTGCCGTCGTCGGGGAAAATTTTACCTGTCCATAAAGCCGATGTCCAATTTGTCGCAAGAATTGGGTACTGGATCCCCGTTTCATCCGTCATGTTGTAAGTTAAACCGAAAACAACCACACTCAATCTCCCGAATATATTTCCGATCAGGTATGCAGTGACAATAAAGGTCGTTCGTGATACTCTCCACTCTCGAATGTGTCTCCTGATCAGTCGCATGGAGCCGGCCGGTGGAGACATGCCCAGTATTGAGTCTACCTGTTCTAGCGGTTAACAAAAGTAATTCTGTTGGGGCAAGCTACTATACATCTTGCATTTGATATACTGTTCGGGCAAGTAGGGGCCACCTAAGCATGGAACCCAGGTGCCCTAAGAGTGATCCAAGACCCAAACTGGCGATAGCGGTGAGCAGAATTGATAGTGTATTAAAGGACCGTTGCTCCCACTTGCTCAACTGCCGTCCCTGGGAAAACGCCCAAAGACAGATCGCTAGCAGGACGAGGGCGAGAAAAGTCACTAAGAATCCCCTCAAAACTACAGCAATGTTCCGGCGGGACTGGCGATCACTGCTGAATGGCTTTAGTGGCCACTTCTTGGAGCTTTTTATCCATGACTCCCCCGCACCTTGGCTGTGAGGTAAACTTTGCGGGCCGCTAGAGTGGTTTGATGGTGTTCGGTGATGGGTCATCGTACGGAGTGAAGAGATATGTGGTTTGGAGTATTCGCAGAGGCCCAAATATTAGGTGCTGGTGACTTATAGGTGGCCTGCCAAGACCACATGGGTAACCTCAAACCTTTCCCAGGGCGTCGGATTTCAGGAGTTGTCTACTATTATTTTTGGTAGTCGGCTTCGCCTGAACACATTGAAGCGCTTAGATAATGGAAAGAGCGCAGAAAGAGCGTTAATAGCGAAGTAGGCTGCTCTACATTAAGGCGTTGAAGCGCCCGGGTAGTGGAGGGGTGAGCGGGGGACTCTCTACTAGTAGAGTAGGCTCCTCTTGCTACGGCGGCCAGATACTCCGTACTGTACGAGTACAACTGGAATGCAAGGGAACTATTTATGTCAGAAATCTACCGAAAGGGCTTCGGTGCGCGTACTCGAGGAGTGCGTTTTCGTCTATACGAAACTGGGGGATCATCTCAAAATCTGGCGCTCTAGAAAATTGGGTTTTACCGACACCGGACACCTATTTGGGTAATACCCCTCGCTAGCAATCCCACTAAAGTAGAGCAGGCTGAAGTAGTCCATGGAACTCGGTCAAACCACCATAGCCCGCAGTAGGTATACTTGCAGGAAGCCTTGCTTCATGGGGCGACTATGGAAATCAAAAGTCAGCGGTTACAAATCAGGGGATAGGGATTGGAAACTAGATACGGTATCGCGTCGGTGAGACCTGGAGCTGCGCCTGGGAAAAGCGGTATGATATGGCTCATGTGGACCAAAGCCGTAACTAGGCTGAAAGAGAAATGTTATGTGGCTGTGCTGCTATAGAGGCTAAGCCCTAACATTATTCATTCTAAAATAAGGTATTTGAACTCACTTTTCAGGATTTATAAAGCTTATTAAGAACAAATAACCTGATTCTGACATGATAAAAAGTTATAACAGAATATATTATTTAAAATAAAATAAAATACAATGATAAATACAAGTATAACTACAAATATAATATTATAATTAGTTAATTATGTTAATCATAATTATTAATACATTGGTGACTTTGGTATTTATACTATATCATATTACTTTGTAGTATTATACAATAAAATATAGTAGGTCTAATACTTATGCTAGTAAAGGTTTATAGGTTATTGGTTTCAAGATGTGTTTTATGTAGGGGCTTGATACAAAAAATATAATTACTAATCCAAATAGTGCCCTAACTTCAAGTAAAACTGTGGCTGTACATAATACATTAAAAACTTATTTTATTTGACCATTAAATTTCAGTATAACAGGAAATTAATGATTAACAGAATAGAAGGGAGTGAAAGAAAATTCACTCCTTTAGAGTAGAGAATTTATAGAAACAAGACTACTTAGAATTAGTGTTTTAGGGTTTAGAATTGTAAGGCATGTATGTATGATATCGTATGGTATTGTATGAAATAATTTGTCAGATATACAGTATAATAATAATATTATAATATAATTATGTATTTTCGATTACCCTAGACGTATCAGGATGTTGCCTACAAGTTGTTGGATTGCCTATCGGGCATGCGGTTAGGAGATATGTAGTTGGGAGGTATGTGGTTTCATTTTCACATCCTGTGTTAGTGGGGCTGGGTCTTTGGTTTTGTTGTTTCCTCTGCTCGTTGCTATGGGGTATAGGGTACTGTGCCAGATAGGGGATTTTACACTGTTTCTTTTACATTTTTATGCCATTACGCATAGGGTGGTTGGTTTGAGGTATCATGGAGGATCATGGGATACTTGGGGACTTCTGGTTTGTTGGGGGATCATGGTTTGTCAGGACAGTGTGTTTCTTTTGGGTTCCGGAGTTGTTGGTAGTTTAGAGATATCGCCCATTCACCATCCTTCCACCCCCTGCAGCGCACACCTAACCTATTGTGACTATAATTCCACTGCTTCACCCTTTGGTGCTTTTCTTTGGGCTTTATCACAAGCCGGGCTCCCAACTTCCGGATTTAGAGCTTGAAAGGGTGGAGCCACCCTATAGTAGCCTAAATTACCGCGGACAATGTTCGGGGGTTGGTTCTAAGCGAGACAAAGAGCAAAACATGGTCTATCCTCCTCTAATAGGAGACTGGCGCTTCATTGATTTGATATCATAAAAAAAAATCTCTGCGCTGGAGTATTTTTGCTAAGGCTACCATAATTCTCCTGGACGCACATCGGCCTGACAATTGTTTTGAGAGCAGGTAGTCGTGATGGACTTGCCTATGGTCAATTAATCTCACTGCAGACCTTGATGGCAGGGGTTAGATATGGCCCCAGAAGAAATAGGGGCTCGAACAATAAACCAGAACTATGTAGTTGGAGTTCCCTCCTCATGTACAATATGGTGCCACTTTGTCACTTTTTTCCTGTCTTAGAAGGGCTGAGCAGCTATCCTTTTGCCGTGTTTTTTTTGCCCTTTCTCAGTGTACCGGTGGGGGAATTTCAACGGCATACCAATAACTCATGGCCTATTAATTAGGTCCCGACTGTGCTCGGGCCAAGAAACTCTTATCATTAATGGATTCTTAAAAAAAAAAGACCTCAAATACCTGTATTGCCATTCCTACCAGTCAATGGTGATAATAAGGTACGCTAAATCTCTTGGATTAGGGAACAGCACGAAGAACCAGTACGAGATGCCGGGTATCTCTTAAGTTGTGATTCTTGTGAATTAGATTTACGGCATCTCCTGGACTTGCGAACTGGCAGAAGATGTTGCGCTCGCCCAATTGGTTTCAGCAATAGGGACGTCTAAGGACGCTGTTGGACTCTAAGGTCTTGGCTGAGACAACGGTCGCTTTTGGCGTATAATACCTCTAGGTATGTCGCAGCGAACTGTTGACATAGGCTGCGGTAAACGCTGTAGTAGTCGAGAACCGGGAAACTTACTATGAGCCTTGAGATATATGATATTAGAAGTAATTGCAGTCCCATCCAAGACACTCCAGTACAAATATTTTAGTGGTACTGTGTTTCGGGCTAGGTGAGGACTTCAGATTTCAGACCAATAGGGCAATGGCTTTTGTGAGCAACAAAGGTAGTATGAGGCCAAAGGCATGGTGTTCAAGCGCCACTTCTACTACCACTACACAAGTTAGACTACCTATGGATGGGGGTGGGGTGATTGCGGTAAATATTTTTTCTAAAACACTATTACTAATAAAACCCATTTGACTTGTCCGTGGCATGCCTGCAGAAGTAGAGCTACACTTGGAGGACAGCGAGAAAGTTTGTGAGGGGACTCATAGGAAGTGGGTGGGATGGAAGTACCTGTCCTGCAAAAAATATAGGATACCCTCCAGGGAGTGCCAGAACTTTATGACACTTCTGAAGTTCAATGTGGGCCATATTCATCAAATCAGGGCTAATAAGAGCTACCATTTCAATACGCAAAGAGACTGGTTTAAACAAGAATGAGACCCAATATGCCAGTGCTGTCTGTATAGAGGAGTACCCGATACCATGAGACATACCAGTGCTGGCATTGTGGAGCGCCCTGGCTTGTGCTATGCTTGTAGGGGATATGCTCTGAGATATTTAACCTGACTTTGAATTTGGAGGTACGGGAGGACAATTAGGGGGGTAAGCTTGACCAAGGGATTGGGTTCCTATATTATAAAGGGGAGCAAATATTGCTGGAGAATTTTCTATTTGCAACTTGAAAGCACACCTATTTGGCTTCATGAAGTTATGAATTTGTTTCAATTACGAAGCCTCGCTGAGTACTGCGATGAACCCCCTCGGGACGTGGTGCACATCCCGTATCCGAACTAGTGCTGAGACCCTCCAATCTCCCTTTAGGGTTGTAAACAAAGTTGAGGATTTAAACAAAAAAAAAAGAAATGACATCAATGGTATTTCGGGTTAACTTAGCTGCTCAGGGGAAGGGGGGGCTCCGGGACTAAATAAAATGCCCGTCGCCACACTCAAAAGAAAATCTATCCTATTATATCATACTGTAGAAATGCGCGACAAGCCATTAGGTTACTGAACTTCTGACGATTAGGCATGCGTGACCTTTGGAGTATGGAACTGTATATCTTAAAGCATCTTAGTTAGCGCCTTGAAAGAAAGGATTGTGGGCAAACATATCTCTAAGTTCCAGACTTCAAGCGGGTACTTTGTCTTGCTAGGAATCAAACTGAATGCCCTACTAGTTGCATAGGTAGCTGTCATGGTACAGGTTTTGGTGTTTTTTTCTTTGGATGCTGCGAAAGGTAGAGCGAGTGAGTCTATATGATTGGGAAAGCTTGAAATATGATAACGCATTCCTAATGTGATAAGGAATAGGAATCCAGGAGGTTAAATAAGGACCTATTTCCTCCCTATATTTCTCTCCCTCTCCCCTTCCCCTCTCTTTGCTCCTCGGTCCCACAATGTCAGTTTTTTAAGGAGACATTAGCTTTCAATAATTGTTCTAAAAAGTTCGTTTTCTTTTCTTCATTCTTGTTCCCCGGGGGATTCCTATCATTAGCAATTCAGGCTATCTTGTTGCGGAATAATATTTTTCTTTATTTTGAAGTAATAGGCCTCTCCCTACTTGCCACTCTCAACTGGCGTTTAGTGAAGGCGGAACCTTGGGTTGGGGAGTGGGCTTGTGGGTGCCTGTGGTGAGGACGTTTGTATTTCTGATATGAAGGTTGCGCCTGACTACTATCGGCGATCGGACATGAAGGGTTGGCTATGAGGAAGGGGACGGATTGTGCCACATGGGGGAAAAAGATGAACAGTGTAGAATGCGACAATATAGGGTGGTTACTATGGCAGACTCTCGCTGTTGCTTACTACTATGCACCCTGGTACGCAAAATCTGTGTGAGGGAGCAGTTTTAGGCAAACAACTCTACTCGCCCTAATTTTGAAAAAGCATCCCTTCGGGCGATATGATAATGCGTTAAATTTTTTAATCTCTGAACCAACTGTGTGGCAAACCCACGCGGTGTAAGGAACAAGTGGCAAGAAAGCCTAGAGATGGCCTAGCGCCGCGACAAATCTCTTTCAACCATTTTTTTTTTGGACATCTAACAGCCAAGATATATGGCCTTTTCTATTTAACATGGGCGGGGGTCCTATTACCCATGGCGTAGTTATTACCCAAAATAATATTTTATATGGAATTTCAATTACACTTGCAAGAATCACCACAACTTGTATAGTTTAAAAGATGCCAGGTTTAAATTCAATAGGCAGGATCATTGGCCACTTGTAGATACACTTGAAAAGAGCAGATCAAATTTAAGCTATTTTGAAGTAAGAAAACAGCTTGAAAATATACATGAACTTATTTTGAGTAAGGTTGATTATGACTGGGTCTTCTCAATAGGCGTATAGTTTCTGGTGCTGGTCTTGAAGATACAGAGGATTGACTAGCATGAGAGGCGGTAGGAGAAATTTGAGATTCAGAGGGGTAGCCTAAAACATCAGAGCATGCAGGAGAATAGTTGCTTCCATCAGTCTCAGATTCAAGATTTTCAGAGTCATGGTCAGAGTCAGAATCTGATACCACCATGAGCAAATCCTCATCAGACTCAATTCCACTAGAGGCTTCTGCCACTTGCTGTGCCTTTCTTTTTCCAGCAACCTTCTTGGTTGATGTTATTTTGTTGTTCTTATCGAGTGGATCTACTACACCACGTCTTGGCTCCATCAAATCTTCCTGTGAGATGTACCGTGCATGAGAGAGGATCTTTCTACTCCTTTGAGCAGGCTTATTACGTGCCATATACTGTCGCAGCTCTTCTCTTGAGATTGTCACATCTGACTCTGCTTTTATGAGAGTATTTTGTAGGTCTTTTATTTGAGTAATTGCATCCTCAAGATTTGAGAGAAGGGTAGAGCGAATCTTTTGTGCCTGACTCAAAGGAGGGCGCTGGGGTAAGGTACGGAGGTTGTATGGAGTAGCAAGCAATCCTTTTTGAGTGTTTTGGAGGCTTGCAGTGACTTTGGGGTCCGTAAGAACTCGGATTTTATTGAGAGGATAGATGCCACAGGCTGCCCAAGCAGAACGAATAGTTGAACCAGTGAATGCTTTCTTTCTGGCCTTTTCACAAAGAGGAATGAAATCACCCTTTAGCAAGGAGGTATGTAGTGGCTGAACTGCAGTCCAGGTGTCAACTTCCTGACCACAGTAGCGAGCCAAGGGTCCAAATACACCAATATCCAGAGGTTGTAAAATATGAGTGGCGTGAGATGGAAAGAAGAATAAGACAATATTCTTTGCCAAGCAGTATTCAAGAAACTCATAGGTAACATGAGATGAATGGTTATCACAGAGTAGAAGGCGTTTGTTTCCAGGTTTAGATGGAGGGGCGAAGATATCGAAGTGGGTTTTCAACCATTTTAAGCCAACGTAATCCCGAGTCCAGCCATTATCTGTGAAGCTAAACACAGTTCTGCTATCAATCCCTGACTTGCTATGCCATCCAGCATAGTGGGCTTTGCCAGCATAGATGTAAAATGCAGGGAGAACCTTTCCGAGAGCTGAGACAGCCTCAATCAATGTAACCCACTCTCGGTTTCCTTACTTCATTCGTTTCCCTGGAGTTTTAACCCAAACTCGAGATATGACTAGTTCATTGGCTCCTCCACCTTTCCCCATTTGAAATCCCTTCTCATCAAAGTTCCAGAAGTCCTCAGGCTCAATTTTGTGCTTGGCCAGGCATTCAGTAAGGCGCTTAAAGAAATCTTCTAATTTTTCTGGATTCTGAGCTAGTATTTGCTCACGGTCCATGGCCTTCAATACAATAGTCGCTACCTCCTTATGCCTGGCCAAAAACCTGGTGATATAATGATCTCCGACACTCTTAATTGTCGTATTGCCTTCATGGTGACAATTGTGGAGATTTATGACCATTCGAACAAGGTCTTTATGCTTCGGAGGAAAGCCCAATGCATCTCGCTTTTCAACCCACTCTAAAACACTGATCTCTTCTTCAGGTGTGAGTAACATTTGGTCCACATGAGCTTGGCGTGCAGGTTTGGTATTGCCATTCAGTCCGTTGTATAAGGTTTTCCGATTTACTCCATAGTGGACGGCAACATGACTTAATTTTGCTTCAGGGTTTGATTTAATATCTGCAATCGCATTCTGGAGCTTCTGCTCATGCTCGTCATATCGTTTTCGCTTTTTGTTGATTTGTTTTGGCATTGTTCAGTGGATGTTTTGGTGTGGAGTTGGTTGTATTCACAGGAAATTCTACAGGTAAAATCTACACCATGGGTAATAAGACCCCCACCCATGTTATTGTGGAATTTTCGTGCCGAGATCTCTATCCTTTGTCGGATCGAAAAGCCGCGGGGTCCATCCCCCTTCCTGCAACCCTGTTACTTGTAAAATGTTGGCTGCCCAACCAAACTTCGAAATTTCCCCAAAAATGTTTTTTTTTTAATTATGATACCTTATGTACACGAGCTGTCAATCCGCGTCATCCAAACCTCTACCAAGCCCGATAAGCCCATCACTGCAACTCTAGGGTCTTTTCAACAGTGTCCTCCAGAATTTTTGATTCTGCGGGAATCGTGGGAAGTTGGCGTCCAGGCCGCTTGCTAGATCCACCTCCGGGGGGCCACCACCCTGACCGCTCTTAGTCCCATAGCTAACTCGTTCTTTCAAGACATCATCAAGAGATGCTGCCAGTTCATCTCCCGTCATCAATTTGCCGTTATCGAATTTGGTTATAATAGTTTTCAATAGCTCTGCGGTTGCCAGGTGGCTATCGTCTCGTGTGTATACCCCCCTGCAGTAGCCGAGGACAGCTAGGATTGCAAGGATTTGACAGCCTGTGATGCTAACTGCGATGAGGGTAACACGAAGCCAATTTACATCCAGGGTTGTATGTACGAACTGGGTGCCGCTGCCTGGTGGTAAGTAGGGCAGCCCAATGTTTGCCGCTATTATGGCGAGGATTGGTAGGCGAGCTACTAGGCCAGCCATCCAAAGTCGGTAGCCGTTCCAAATAGTCTCATTCTGGTTTTTGAAAAAATTGGCATCGCAAAGGTAGAATGCTCCATCGCGGTCGGTTGCTGAGCTCTGTGAGCTTTTAAGGTCGCTAAGGTACACACGATGCCCATCATCCTCAGGGGCATTGCTGCCATTGCCCACTGTTAACAGCCGATATAGGCCTGTGGGATGAAAGAACCTATCAGTAGGTTCGACTTGGTGGTATTCGTTGTCACCGATAGTTTCCGTTAGAGTTGGCCAACATTCCCAAGCAACCCCATCGCATACAGTATCTAGTGACATTATGAAGTTAGTATTCCGGGGCCTTGATTTGGGCATGGGTCAATAGTACTGACAAATCTCGGGAGATACTCGGCTTCCATTTGAAAGGTCTAGGAACGACATCCAATTGGCCGATGAGTGCCGGATAATCTGGCTCTCATTAGATACCCGTAGTATCTCAGATACTACTTCAACATTGCCTTCACCCCAACCTAGCTCGCCAAATCCAAGCTTAGCTTCACTCGCACTTGCACTATAGTCATTGAGCCGTGAAAGCAGTCCTACATACTGAATGGTCCCGTTCTGTTCCCGTTGTCCCAACGCCAATACTGGCTCTCGCCAACCTCGATTAAGTTGCAGTTTGCAGAGGAGTGAACGGTACGGTTTGATGGCGTAGTATAGTCTCCATCGAAATCCTTCAGCCGGTATGAATATTCAACTGTATTCGTGCCCACTCTCAGCGTAGCGTTTGATACTTGGAGATCGGATTCCAGGTAGGGGCTTATGTCATCTCCAATACGAAAGACAGCCTCCTCGCCATGACTCCAGTCAGTGCTCCCGGCGTATTCTATAAATCCACTCCGCGCCAAAGCCAAGAACTCTTGTCACAGACGTTAGCTGTAGTTCCTTTCCCCAGCAGAGCTTGGGGGTCTGGTATCCTTGCCTTTTACGCTCTCATATTCCTGCAAATCGGGCGCCTTGGTCTTGTCTTCGAAACTCCCATTGGCCCAGAGAGCGGATCCCCAATCTGACTTCAGGATTGGATCCACAACCCCTGCATCATCCGTCATGTTGTAAGCTAAACCAAAAGCAGCCACACTCAATCTCCCAACCAGATTCGTGACGAGGTATGCTGTGACAATAAGGGTGGTTCGCGATATTCTCCACTCTCGGATATGTCTCCAGATGAGCCGCAGCGAGCAAGTTGGTGGAGACATACCCAGTATCAGGTCTACCTATCCTAATAGTTAACAGGGGGCTTTCCTTGGGAGGTAAGCTACCATACATCCCGCATTTGATACATGGTCCGGGCAAGTAGGGGCCATCTAAGCATGGATCCCAGATGCCCTAAGAGTGATCCAAGACCCAAACTGGCGATGGCGGTGAGTAGGATAGATAATGTATTGAAGAGCCGCTGCTCCCACTTGCTCAGCTGCTGCCCTCGGGAAAACACCCGCAGACAGATCATAAGGAGTGCGAGGGCGAAAGAGGTCACTAAGAACCCCCGCGAGAGCACGCCGAGGTTTCGCCGGAGTTGTTCGTGACTCCTGAATGGCTTCACTGGCTCCTTGGAGCTCTTTGCCGACGAGCTACCAGAAATGTAGCGGTCCGGCGAAGCTTGTGAGGAGTCAAGGCGGTTTGATGGGGGTTTGCGGCCGGGCATTGTAAGAAGTGAGGAGAGCTCCAGAAATAGCCGCAAACGGGGTGTTTGGGGAGCTCGCAAAATCAAAATCCTAGGCGTTATCAGCTTTATAAGTGGGGCCAAGAAGACCATATAGCATCCAATGCAAGCCGACCGCCCCCCTGGGGTGCCAACTCCGGTGCACGGCTAGCTGGTGGACAGCCTCGCACAAATGCATCTAAAACATCCAGGTGACAGAAAATGCGCAGAAAGCTCTTTTCTGGTAGAGCATTATAGGCCGAGTCAATTTGACGGCCAAGTTGGCTTAGTTTGTCTCTGCGATTGGGCGAAAAGTGTAGCTACAGGTGTTCTAGTGCAGCACTAGCTCGGAGGGGATATTCAGCTACCGGCATCAAGAGACTACCTGTATTAGAATGGCATCCTGCAGAGTTCGCAGTACGTCCGAGGGGGGGGTTGCTTCAGTCCCAAAACTCTGTACTGTTCGAGCAGTATTAGCCAAACTACTATTTAGCACTTTCCGCAGCAAAATTAGATCTCATACACTGCCATATGGGGCATGGCTACTGGAGAAATGGGCCAAAAGTGGGGATCATATCCCCTGTCCTAGCAACTGGACCTCAAACCGTACCGGACAAAATTAAAATAAGCGCCAAGAAGTAACTGTCTTACCTCCCGGACTTTGGCCAACAAGCTAGACACATGTTGAGTAGGGGAAACCCTCGCGTACCAGACTATGGCCAACAAATGTATGAAAGTTGTTTCCGAGCATGGTGAAGTGTAAAACATGACATAAATTCCTCAGATCAGATCAGACACAGGTACTCCATTAGCACGATACCACCAAAAATATTCTTGAACTCGTGGTGGCTGCGGGCGCCCAAAGTTATCATAACTCCCCAAATATTTTGGGACTAGGGTGGTTGTGATGGACCCGTCTACAAGTAATATACCGTACAGTACGGGTTTGGTGGCAAAGTTCATGGCCTCCCGCACCATTTTACACCAATAATGGCTAGTTTTAAACAGTCCCAGCGCTCCTAGGGGTGTTATGGAATTAGTGAAATTAGTATTTGCTGTGTAGGCTAATTCGTACACTTTCTAGGTGGAAGTAAAGATAATTTTCCTGCTCCGATATGGGGGCAGCTTAGACCTTGGGGCCTAGAGCTGATTGTATAATTTTTGGATAGGGAACTTATAGACAATCAGAAGTACCTTTTTCCTGCTATCATTATTTCTGGTACTGAACTATATGAATGAGAACATCTAGATAGTTCTACAGGTTCTGAAGATTTTTTAAGATTTTTTTCTGCAAAAGCGACAAGGCTGAGATTTTGTTGATTGAAAATGCCTATTTTAGTTGTAAAGAGGAGGAAGGGGCTGACTAATTTTGTCACGAAGATTGTATGTACCGTGTTGAAACAGACTATGGCTGGACCTAGTAATTCAGCGTCATCACTAGAAACTATTGCTAGTAGTGTTTGGGAATCTATTGCACCCACTGGAAGTGGATAGTGGAAGTAGGGGTCAATGGCAATTAAACAAGTGGTATGAGAACTGGAACAGTCGAGTGTTAGATGTTAGTCATGATACTTGATCTGTTTGTATCTTGTTTGAAGGGTCAGGACTGCAACAGATTTCTTACTTCTGATTGTTTTATCCTTTGCATTTCTTTCCCATCGTGTTCTTTTTAACTCTCTATAAAAGACTTTGTATGTCGCCGTTCTTTTCCTATGAGTTATCTATCAGACCTATTCGTTCCTTTCTTTGTCAGACAATATTAATCTCTACTCGTTCTTTTACCACTCTTGCTGTTGCTCTTGAATAGAAGTGAATATATCGACAGGATACGCTTGTCCCATATCCTTCACATACTGAATAGTAAAAGTTATAGGTACAAAGAAGCTGAACATAATAGATTGGAAAAGGGGGATAATATGGTTGGGAGAGGAGATAAGAATGAGAATAGAGGTCAGGGTATTGGGAGTATGGATGGAGTGGAATAGGGGTTGGAAGGTACATGTTAGAAATAGAATAAGAATAGTAGAAGAGAGATGGAGAATGTTGTTAAAACTGTTAGAAAGTGGAGGAAGATGGGTATTGGTTTAGGTGTTGGGGGACATTTTTAAAATAGTAGTAGAACAAGCATTGATCTATGGAATAGAATTATATCGGGAGGGACAGAAAGAGATGGAGGAGAGATTGTAGAAGTAGATAAACAAATGAATAAGGAAAACACTGGGAGCAGTGAGGGTGATACTGACAGATGCGATGTTGGGAGAGTTAGAATAGAAGAGAGTGAAATAGACTTTAGATAGAAAGGTAGAGAGACTTGGATGAGAGGTGAGATTGATGAGGAGGGGAGAAGAAGAGACTTTTGGGAAGAGGTAGAAGAAATGGGACAGGAAGAGGTAGGAATTAGGAAGATAAGACTGGGTAGAGAGGATGTTAAAGGAGGTGAGAAAGCATATATTGGAAGGGGAGAGAGATAGGAGGTAGAGGGGGAATAAGGAGGTAAAGTGAAGTAGAAGGTGGAAATAGGTGAGGGAAAGAAAAAGGTAAAGAAAAAATTGGAGAAAGAGAAAGAGGAAAGTAAAAGGAAGTAGGTAGTTGGGATTAGTAATGCAAGTGGAGAAGAAAGAGAAATAGAAATAGGAGGTGGATAGTATGAGAAAGGAGAGTTGAGAAAACAATAGAGCAAGAATTGTTGAAAATAGTAAGATGCTACTTAGCATACTTGCATCTTCCCTTACTTCCACTACTCCTCCTTCTTTTTTTCCCTTTATCCTCTATTCCCTAGTTTCCCTATTTTCCCATTCTCTTACTTCGAGTCCTATTCCTTTGCTTGATTGATTGTTTTTTCAGTAGGAGTACTTGGTGGGAGTATTTGGTGGCAGTATAGAAGTGCTTAGTAGTAGCATATGGTGGGGGAAGAGTGAGCATGACAGAGAGGTACACAGTAGGAGAGTGTGATAGAAAAGCATGTAGTATGAAGAATGTAGGAAAGCATACAGTAGAGCATGGAAGAACATGACAGAAAAGTAATGTAGGAAAAGCACAGTGGAACAGTACACGGAAAAAGCGCAAGTTTGTTTTTCCTTTGTTAGCTCTTTGTACAAATATGGAGACTTACCTAGTAGGAGGAAGGTGTGAGTTTGTCTTTCCTGTATTAGTTTGTGTGTTTACTTAGAAGTAGGAAGGGAGACTTACTTGTGGGGGTCAGAGAACTCAGTTTGTAGTTGTGGTGCATTGCAGTTGCAATTTATACTCTTATCTTTTCTATCAGTGAATGTTAATAGCTGGTTACCCTCCTATTCACTTTGCTCATAATATGAGCGAAGTGAATAGGAGGGTAATCAGCTATTAGTTAGTTCTGCACATGATAGGGAGGAGGTAAGTGTATGAAAGAGAAAAGTTTTCTTTTTTTGAGTTGTGTGATTCCTACACATGAGTAAGCTTGGCATTGTTTTATTTTATGACCTATTACTTACTTACCTTTGATTGGCTTGTTGCCATCAATCTCTATTTATTTACCACTTGTTTAAAAGAATTTGAGAAGGGATTGAACTTGAACAATAGGGGAAGGAGAAATAGAAGGGCTAGGAGAGGTACTGGGAAGGGTAGAGAAGGAATATAAAAAGGGAAAAGGGAATTTGATCATAAGAGTAGACAATACAGGAGTATTAAAGAAGTTGAGGAAGAGGAGAGAGTTATGTGGAGAAGTAAAGAGTAGGATAACAGAAGTAGAAAGGAGGTTAGTAAGTAAGAGGTAGAGGATTAAACTAGTATGGATACTAGAACATGTAGGGATAGAGGAAAATAAAGAGGCAGATGAATAAACTAAGAAGGGATTGTGGGATGATAATAATAATAAGGAGGTAGGGGATATATTGTTATGGAGTAAGTAGTAGCAAAGGAGGAAGGAGTAGGAAAGGAGAGGATGGAAAGAGTATTGAATGAGGAAAAGGAAAGGGGAAGTGTATTTTGGAATAGGAGCAGGAGGGGAAAGGGGATATAATAGAAAGAGGTGAGAGAGCCAGTAGCTGGTTTAAATGAGAATGAATTATAGGAGTATGAAGGGATTAAGGTATATAGAGGAAAGGGGTTTGTATAAGTACAGGGAGATTGAGGACAGGAATCACATATTAATAAGATATTTGATATAGGAGAAAATGAGAAAAGAGGTTTGAAGAGATTGGTGGAAGGGGATTTGGAAGCAAGAGGAATTGGTGGAGATGGATAGGATATTATTTAGAGAAAGGTGACAAGAGAAAGTGTAATTTGGATAAAAGACAGGGTAGATAGAAAGGAATGAAAAGTATAGAAGGATTACAGGAGAAGAGAAGAGAAAGGAGATATTAATTCAGACTTGGAGAGAAAATTGCCAGTGGGGGGGTGGAGAAAGAGAAGATGGAAGAAAGAAGAGGGGAAATTTTGAGGGCAGTAAGGGAGAGAATAAGGAGATTGAAAGAGACAAAGGAGAAAGAGCCTGAGGGTGGCCTAGTCCTCCAAATAGTACCCATTATAAGTAACATGGAGAGGATATAGGCAGAAGGAAGAGAGAAAGGAATGGAAGACAAGGAAGTTGGAAGGATTAATAGAGGAATTAGATTGTTTTGTAAGTAAGTACAGGGGAGAATACAGATACTTTAGTTTAGTCTAGAAAGTGCAAAATAGAAAAAGTTTTAAAAAAAAGGAAAAAAAAAAGAAGCCAAATACAGGGCAGTAAAATGGAGGGTGAGAGACATGCCAAAAATAGTAAAAAGTTTCCTGTAAATAGCATAATATTTCCTATAGCTATTTGACAGGATACCCCTCGTTAAATCCAAATTTGACAGAATGCCACTGAAAAAAAGATGTTTGATAGAATGCCACCTACTATGTATTCTTCTACCAAATCTTTTTTATATAGTTTATCTCACATTCAATCATAGTAGTCTGACATATAATAAAATATAATAAGTGATACAAGTAAATATATTATAGTAATATACAAAAGCAAGTACTAAACATAGGATTCTGGG